TATTCATTAGTTTCTAAAATCCTAGTCCCCTTAGGTATCCATTTGTGTAGGATATCCTTATCTTTAGTAGTAATGAGTCTTTTAGGAACCCATATACTTCTGACGATTTTTCCATTAGAGGTTCTTTGGGGACCTCTATGATTGTAGTTTTTAAAACTTTTTCTAACAAAGTTGTATTTTGAATTTTCTCCATTTTCAAAACGTTTTGTTCCAACTTTATCAAAAGAAGCATTAAGATCATCAATTTTCTTTTGATGATATCATTGACCTTTGAAAGTAAATTTTGCAAATCCGAATTTTTCTTTTCAAAATCTCTAGTTTGATTTGAAAATCTTTGATTTTACTTTCAAAATCATTGTTGGTCTTGGATATGAGCTTATTTTCATTTTTTAATTTTGAGACATCATTTTTATATTTTAAAAACAATTTCTCATAATCTGAAGCCAACCCATTATATTCCTCTAATAACTCATCATACGATAAATCATCTAATTCAGATGAGTTAGAGGTTACCTTAGAATCTTCCCTGAATGCCATCAAGCACAAGTTTGCTACTTCTTGTTCCTCTTCATCGGAACCTTCTTCATCGCTCCATGTAGCCATATGCGCCTTGTGCTTATTCTTTGATTGACCCTTTCTCTTCAATTGTGGGCAATCATATTTGACATGCCCTGACTTTTTGCATTCATAGCAAATAATAGGGTCCTTATCTTTTGGTTCATTTTTGAGGCCTTCATTTCGTTTGAATTTTCTTCCTCGGTAAAGTCTCATCATTTTTCTGAACCGTTTGGCAAACAATGCCATTTCCTCATCATCGTTATCTTCATCCGAATTACTCTCATCTTTTGTGGATTTGAGAGCAACTCTAATGTTTTTCTTCTTCTCCTTCTCCTTTCGTGTCTCATCAATCTTATCGAGGTCCACCTCATCTTTAAGCATCATTTAATGAGTGAGGAGGGAACCAATTAGCTCTTCAAGAGTTAAGGATTTTAGGTTATTAGCCTCGATGATTGCCGTCTTCTTGGATTGCCATGATTTTGGAAGTGAGTTAATCGATCGATGGAATTGGCCAATAGGGGGTGAATTGGAAATTAAAATTTTGGTGGAAGCTTTTGCAGAAAATTGAAAAGATTTGCACAACGATTTAGAGTGGTTCGACTTTCTCAACCAAAGTCTATGTCCACTACCTTAGCTATCCACACTAAGGATTTTCCAACAAATTCACTAATTTGTTCTTTCTTTTGAGGCAAAAGAGATAACCTTACAATACCCTCAAGAATATACCCCAATTCTTGAGAACACTCTTTCTCAAAGAGAAGATTACAAATTTACAAACTTACAAAGAAATCCTCACAAGGTAGATTGTTTGTACAATTCTAGAACAGAGAAAAGAACACTAAAAAATGAATACAATTGAGTACAATTAGTGTTCTTGAAAGCAAAATGAATATTGAATGAAAAATAGGCTTAAAATGCTCAAACTTGAGGTTTGATGCTTTCTCTTTGATTCTCTCTTGATTCTTGTTTCTTGTGTTTTCTTGTTTTTTTATCAATGGCTTCTAAGCTTATTTAAATACACCTTCAAATGATTCTGAATGTTGGACCCTTAGTGCATCGGTGCACTAAGAGTGCATCGATGCATGAAATGCATTCGATGTTTTAAAATAGCCAGAGTGCATCGATGCATGGCTGGTGCATCGATGCATCAAATGCATTCGATGTTTTCATAAAACTCTGAGTGCATTGATGCATAGTATGTGCATCGATGCATGAAATGCAATCGATGTTCAATTTATTCCATGGTGCATCGATGCATGGATTGGTGCATCACTTTGAAAAATTGATTTTAGGCTTGCTTTTGGTTCAAAATACTTTGTGAAAATTGTTTCAAAAAATATATTAAGTATAAAACACAATTTTACACATTTAGTAAGGTTTGAAATTAATCTTGAAGACTTGGAGTAATAATTTGATATTCAAATAATTAAATCAAATATACTTAGAAAATCATTTGTAAAATCATAAAATTCATTTATACTTAATTTGTTATATCGAAACATCAAAATGTTTTCAACACAAAGCAATAAAGACCACCATTATCTTCACCTTGAATTAAAACAATACCAGTCTTCTCATCACGAGCACATCATCGGTTAGCATGAAACTCTAGAAACACATCATTGTCCCTAGCAAGCTTCGATACCGAAAGCAAGTTCTTAGTAATTTGAGGCACATGTAATAAATCATTCAGCAGAAGGGCACGAGAGGAAGAAGAAACAGAAGATTGAATAATCATATTAACACCAAGATGCATACCATTGCCAGCGATTAATTTACCTAGACCATGGAACTCAAATGGGTTCATAACATTCGATGCTTCAGAGGTGATATGGTGTGTTTCCCCAGAATCCACCACCCACCTATCAGAATTATTAGCAGCATTAACAGTATTTGCTTGAGTTAGTCCCGAGGAGGCAGGTTAACCTTTACCACAACATTCACATATGTTAGGATTTTTGGAAGCTCGAAACGATAACCGGAACGATTTGCAAAGAGGGGTCGGAACGGTTTTGTGTTTAGGGAGTAAGGAGATTGAAAGATAGAGAATTGGACATCGATTTATAGTGGTTCGACTTTCTCAATCAAAGTCTACGTCCACTACCTTGCTTCTCACCAAGGATTTTCCAACAAATTCACTAATTTGTTCTTTCTTTTAAGGATAAAGAGTAACCTTACAAACTCCTTAGTTTTTCCGGGCTAAACTAGAACCTTTCCCTAGCTTTTACACGGGCTAAGCTAGAACCTTTCCCCTTTACAAAAAGATAAAAGATGTAAACAATAAAACCTCTCTAAGGTAGGTGTTTACAAGAATTAAGCTCACAAGAACAAAATATTTACAAGAGAAAGATGAAATAAGAATGAAAAACTCTTCTCTTGTGTTTGATTACTTGGATAGTTGTTCTCTTGCTTCTTCAAGTGTCCTTAGCTTGTATTTATAGCTTGGAAAGTGTTTGAAGTCATATCTAGCCGTTGGGGATGTTTTGGAGCCGTTTGGAAATGATTTTTCTGCAAAAATAGGCTGCCAGAAGGGGGGAATCAGTACCCCTTCATAGGGAATCGATACCCCTTCATAATATTCAAATATTATGACCGTTGGGCTGATGAACAGTGAGGGAATCGGTACCCCCTTGGGGGGAATCGGTTCCCCTTTTACATACTGGAATTTTTGAGCCTCGGGGGGTACTTTCAAACAGTGATTTACTGTTCAAAAACATTTTTTTGCTCAATTTTAAATTAAAAGAACTTTGAATTATTTTTGTAAATTTTGAATAAATTCAATTAAGTCCAAATACATTTTGTAAATTCAATTCAAGTCAAAAAACCATTTTGCCTTAAATTGTTATATCGAAACATAGTTCAACAACATGCATTGGCAGATGAGGTATATGAATCACTCCTATAAGAAGCTCGACTATCAGATGTAACACATGAGAATTCTTTATCAAATCTATGCCAACAACGATCCACTAGGTGCTCGATCTTGCCATATAATTGGCATTGCACACGCGGTCGACCTCTACCTCTGCCACCACCACGAGATCCAATAGAATAATTGAACTGCTGATCCGTACGAGTATTAGAGAAGGAGGAGCCACGCCCTTCTCCCTGAGTAATATGAGCATTCATCGGTAACACCTCATTTTGCTCATCAAAACCTGCAAGTTGCATTTCAGCATCATGTAACATAGTATATATGTTATCAAGTGTCAAGGTTTCTTTCATTGTGGTTATAATAGCCACAAAGGACTTATACTCACGAGGAAGGCCCTTTAAAATACTGGCAATGCATTCTACAGAAGAGACCGAACTGCCACACGACTCAACAACAAATTGAGGAATGAGCGGAGCACTGATAGTGGAAATGAGCCAAGAAGCAAGTGCACTGCCTTGTGCAACAAATTCCTCATACTCTTCATTAACCTGAACAACACTGTTGTCATCAACCACCGTTTCTGGTGGCGTAGATACTACACCAGTAAGTAATCGTTCTAGTCGATGATTGCGAACAGTCAACAACACCTGCTGCTTCCAAAGCAGGAAATTCATTTCATCGAGCATAACATTGACTTTCTTGTGAGAGAAAGTCTTTGAACTCTGCACGGGAAACTCCATAACCAAGCACTTTACGCAACAGAAGCCAAACAATGGAGACCTGGAGCGGCATCAATTGATACCATATTGGATTTCTCTAATCAAGAAACTTAGTATTTTATTGAATCAATGAACTGAATTTAAACTACACAACTAAGCCGTGCATATATACAAGCAGTGTGCGTGAAGTTTCCTCTTAACAGAAGTTTGTTAACCCTAACAGACTATAATTACTTTCTTAACAACTCAGCAACAACTTAGTAGCTTTTCACACCAACAACTATCCATTTCAAGTGTCACATACTTCAACTCTAATAGTAGTTTACCCTAAAAGAAATTAAGGATATTAATGATCGATTATCATGAGATAAAAATCGTGGATTAAGAAATAATTGTAGAATATCTTTGTAGTTTCAATTCTTTTTTTTATTACAATAACGTTGTTTTTACAATGTAATATCTAAATTAGTATGAATCAAGTGACTTCAGTAGTTAAAATGATAGTTTTTATCTCTCTTGAGAGTCTGGATTTTAGCACGACATGTGCAAGACTTTTGATTAGTGAATTAAATTAATAAAGTACACGACTAATAAAAATTAAATATACAATTTTATAGATTTACTCAACCGATGCATTATATATTTTCATTCACAGTTACAAGTGTGTAAGATCAAAAGCGGGGTGGTCCAAGGTTTCTACATGGAATGAAATCATTTTGACAGTGATATTGCCTCAAAACAACCCAAAAAAAAAACAAAAGAAACAAAGAATATGATATAGATTCTAGCTAGCTTTCAATCAACAATGTTTGACATTCAGAATCACTATACAAACCACCAAAGAAAGAGAAGATTGCTATAATTAATTAACTCTTTAATATTCCAAAGATCCCATGGGAAAATATAGGTTAAAAGAACACAGTCACTTGATGTCCATAACAAATATCAAACAACCCTAAAGCACTAATTAGAGAAAAATGGTAATGTACAAGATGAACAAATCGTCTGAGATTTTCCCACACCCAAACAACACCAACCCTTTCTTTTCTCTCTCTGGTAAAGAAGATAAGTGTTCACCGAGAAAACTCTCTCCCACCTTTGCCCCTTTTTTAACCCTAAAATCCACTGCCGCTGGTTCAAGTGTGGAGTAATATATTAGTGTATATATCTTCAACCAAAAATCTGTGTGATCTCACTGAATTTCAAACCCCAAGAAACGAAATAAGGCAACAAAAATGTTGTCAGTAATGGTGATGATGAATGGTGCTAAAAGTAGTGATGCTTTGATTCTTTTTTCCAGCACCGTTGGATATCTTCTGCAATCCTCAGAGCGTCCATTGAAGTACCAAGCAAGCCACGTTTAGTGAACCCCACGGCGTATAGCCCACGCTCCCCTTTCCACCCATTAGGAAATGGCCTTCGGGGGTACCCATCTTTCTCTGAGAACATCTTCCTTTCCTGTCAATTTCCATTTCCTCTCTTTTCTTTAGCCTTTTTCTTTTTAATCTTTAAACAATGGTCAAATTATTATTTGGTCCCTTTACTCTGTTCAAATTCAAGATATAATCCCTATGGGGTTGTCCTCCCGGGATCAAATCCGGTGACTTGAACACAAGTCCTTTGTTACTTCACTTGTTGTTCCTTTTAGTCCTCTTACTTTAATTTGACTAAACTTGGTCTCTACTTTATAGTATCATTAGTTGATTCTGGTTAACTGAGACGTTAACTATTTGAACCAATTAATGATATTATATGAGTAAATGATTAGATTATGTTAAATTAATAGTATAGGGAGAAAATCCCAAATTTAAGCGTAATAAAGGGATCAAATCCTGAATTTGACCTTTAAGAATTAAGAAAAATATATAGATAGAAAGAAACAAAGTAGTGAATACCTTTAGCCAAGAGGGTACGTTGCTCTTATAACCAGTTGCAAAGATGATTGCATCAAAATTTTCAGTGTTGCCATTGACAAACTCCACCGCATGTCGCTTTAGACGCTTGATGCTTGGACGTACCTACGGTGCATGCCAACAATTCTGAATTAAGAACAAATATGGAGTGACTGAATATAAAATTTTACCATAATAAACGGACTGGCCATTGTTTAGACTACTTTTGGAATACAGAATCGTTTAAACATATTCGAATAATCTCATATCTTCATGTATAATGTACTAAGAATTATACTAATTGATTAGTTCAATCGGTACTTACAAGGTATCAAAAACACAAGTTAGTTAGTTCGTTAGTCGGCAATAGGAAGAAAGTGATGTGATATGAGCGACAAAAGTTGCAAGTACCTTAATGTCTCCACTTTTGATTTTGGCAAGCGTGCCTACATCTAACACTGGGGTCTTTCCGGACAGATTCTTGAGCTGGAGGGGACCCAACCTAGGCCGATCCAACCCGAATCGTGCCGTGTCTCCGAGTAGCAACCACGATATGATCAACAAGAGCCTATCGACGAACCACATCGGCAGCCACTTGAGCAACCCCATCGATAACCCAAAAGTCGATCTCCCCATAATCTCTTGTGGGAGGATGTGCACCTTTGGTTTTCATTAATAAAAAGAGAAATTGAAGAAAAAAAGGGGAAAAATATCGATAAACAATAACGGATTCAAAAATATTTTTAAAATACACGTGACTAGATGAGGTTTCTTACCGTGTCTCGGACCACAAGCGAAGGCTTAGCATTATGATTGCAAAGATCCAGGCTCACCTCCATGCCTGAATTCCCACAACCCACCACCAAGACCCTTTTCCCCCTAAACTCTTCACCACTTTTATATAAACTCGTATGCCTTATGTCCCCACCAAACTCCACCATTCCTTCAATCTCCGGCACCACCGCCTCCGCATTCTCTCCCGTCGCCACCACCAGCCACCGACACACATATTCCGTCTCATTCCCCTTCGACCCCACGCTTCTCACGTGCCAGAAACCAATTGTGGAGTCGTACTCGGCCCGCGAGACCGTCTCGTCGAACCGAGGCCTAATGTTGAACCTCCGGGCGTATGATTCCAAGTAGTTGACGAATTGCTGTTTAGTAGGGTAAGTAAGGAAATCACTAGGAAACCCCATGAGCGGTAACTCGCAAAACTGCTTCGGCAAGTGAAGGTGTAGGCGATCATAGGTCTTGAGCTGCCACAAAGATGCTATGCAGTTAGATCTCTCTAGGACTACACTCCGTACACCTTTCTCCTTCAAACAAGCGGCGGTCGCCAGACCCGACGGCCCTGCGCCGACGATGAGCGGCCCCGGAACGTATACACACCGCGGAGGCGACGACTTACTCATCTTCTCAATGAATATAGGATCATGAGCTTGTTTTCCTTCTATTTCTCTCAAGCAGTCCATGAACACAAAAACAAAACACAGATATCTAAATTCTGGGTTTCTAAAAGGGAAAAGAAGAGGGATAAAGGAGCTTAAGATCGAAGGCAAAAGTGAAGAGAAACCATGTTATTATAACAGGGGAAAACGTGGAGATTAGGCCAAGAGAGATTAGGTTTGTTCGTGGGGGAGATTTTGTTTAAATCTCTCTATGTTTGATCTATGATTTTGGGGTTAATTATCAGTTACGGGCTTAATCTAAGCATTCATTCAACACTGGGAGGGAGATGAAGAGAGGTAGTGAAACAGAGATATTGGAGGAATGAAATACAAAGAGTGAATGAAGTGAGAGTGGGAGATTGTGATATGTCTATAGCTCTCTCTCTATATATATTCCTTTTATTCACTCGAGAATTCAATTCATATTATATATATATAATACGAATATGACATGAGATAATTCAGGTGGGGGACATACCATTACATTTACTTAAAAAAACAAAAAGGCAAGGGTAAATTATAAATTTCATCACTAAATTTTAGTCTCCATCTCATTTTACTCATTGAACTTTAAAATTTATCAATTTATCACTGAACTTAATACATTGAGTTTTTTTGTCATTCCGCCGTTAAATAGTTAACGGCGTTAAAACGATGATGTTTAAAAAAATAAATTTTCAAAAAAAAAAAAACAATGTCATTATATAAAAGCCTATTTATAACACCATTAGTGAAGAAACAATTGAGTGACCAAAAAACCCGGTGTATTACGTTCAATGAATAAATTGAAAATATTTAAATGATAGTGAGTGAAATAGGGGGAAAGAGAGTAAAGTTCATTTACTAAATTTGTAATTTACCCAAAAAAGAAATGTAAACTAAAATAAATTTAATTAAACGATGTTTAAAGTTCAAACATCTTATCAAGACATCGTCTACATAATGTATATATATCAATTAATTAAGAAACTTATAAATAAATACTATATTGTAATTATTTTATACTATTTTTTTTTCAAATGAGATGCTCTCAGATAATTAGGTCTGTAAACGAACCGAACGCACACGAACGAATGTATGTTCATGTTCGTTCATTTAATAAATAAACGAACATAAACGAACAAATTTTTTTTGTTCATGTTCGTTTATTAAGGAATATAACTTGTTCATGTTCGTTCATTTAATAAATAAACGAACATAAACGAACACGAACATAAACGAACACGAACATAAATGAACACGAACATAAACGTTGGAGACACTACCTTCCATTGTTCTTTCATGAAAAATAATCGACAATGCAAATCAATCAAATCTACAGTGATAAATAGCGTAAGAGCTTATTAGCAGTGATGAAATGTTTGAAGATATCAAATATTTTGATCGATCTTTTAAAGATATTAAATGATTCACACGACTTTAATTTAACGCTATAACATTTATCTTAGTGGTCCATGATTACATACGAACAATCATTTTCCGCTATTACACTCTTTTTCAGAAATTGCATGGAAACATTTGTTTTGTTTTCTGGCAAATTATATATATTTTTCTCTTTACTGATGCTCATATACTTCCGATTTTTACCTTTATCTTCCCATCTATTTCTAGAAAGAAGTATTATGTTTTCTTGAGTTTTAGATGTGAAGATATCCGCACTAACTTTACATATCAACTATTAAGTCAAATAAAACAGAGAAATAGATGAAAACAGACCTGTAAAACTTCATATTGCACTATAATATAACTTGTTTTGAAGCTTTCAGAGATCGTCTCTACTCTCCGGTGAACAATAAGGTTTGGGGAAAAAAGGGGGAAAATGAATATAAGTGCGAGGTGCCTCACAGGTTAACATATTGAATTTAATCTCCAAATAAAATTGGGTTAATTATGGAGTTGGTCATCAGAATATCAGATTAATATTTTTAAGATACTTACAAATTGGTCACCAAAATTGATTTAAGAAGATTTGGTTAAACATAAATGAATGAACATAAACAAACATAATCGAACGAACATAACCGAACTTTCACAAACGTAAATGAACGAACGAGACCTATGTTCATGTTCGTTCATTTAATTAAACGAACAAAAATCTTGTTCATGTCCGTTCATTTAATAAATAAACGCATATAACGAACTTTAAGTGCGAGGTGCCTCACAGGTTAACATATTGAATTTAATCTCCAAATAATTGGGTTAATTATGGAGTTGGTCATCATAATATCAGATTAATATTTTTAAGATACTTACAAATTGGTCACCAAAATTGATTTAAGAAGATTTGGTTGAACATAAATGAATGAACATAAACGAACATAATCGAACGAACATAAACGAACATAACCGAACGTTTACGAACGTAAATGAACGAACGAGACCTATGTTCATGTTCGTTCATTTAATTAAACGAACAAAAATCTTGTTCATGTCGTTCATTTAATAAATAAACGCACATAAACGAACTTCCCGCCGCACAGTTCATGAACGGTTCGTTGAACGTTCAGTTCATTTACAGGCCTACGGATAATCTAGTGATATTAAAGTAATAAATATATTTATTGATAGATAAAATTAATATTTAGAATTAAAACAAACAAAATCTCACGTTATAGCTGGAGTTGTATTCGATCTAATAAATATGTCTCGTGAATTAAATTTGTGGTCCTGTGGCGTATGCAAGGTAATGATTTTATATCTTCCTTTTTTATCATAACTAACTGTCTCTTCAACTGGGTTTTTATTGGTTTACTTAAATGGATAATTGAAACTGTAACTTTTTTTCTAAATAATTAAATTTAGAAAAAATCAATATGTTATCTCGATAATTAATATGTTTAAAATAATGATTTCATTAAATGAAACAGACCATAATATGATTGCTATTAATCACAATCTGATATTCGAATCTAATATTTAAGATAATTAAAAATTGATAAAATAATTTAATCCATATAATATTTATATTTTAAAAAACAAAAGGTTCCACAAATTTGAAATTAATTCAATATTAAAGGGTGTGAAGATAATTTTAAAAAAATAATCAGAATATTTCATTTATCGAAAGCCGCATCAACAAACGTCTTGTCAAGTACAGACTGAAGAAATACAATCATGATTATCAAAAATAAAATATAACAATGATCGCTTAGAGATAGCATGATAAACAAAACCATTAACAAGTGAAGCAACGGCGTACATAAACTAAACACGCAAACAACTTCGAACATCAAACACAGAGGAGAGAAACTAGAAGAAGAACCAAAATGGCCAACGGAAAAAACGATCTCCCCTTAACAGTAATCTCATGCAGCACATATATGCTATAACTAACCGCGACGTACACGAACAAATTGTCTTGTACAAACAAACATAGGAACCGACATCGAAAAAGCAATCAACCATGTATTCAAGGAAAATAAAAGATCGAGAAGAAGACCAATTAAAACAAATCCATACCAAGAGTATAAAAACACCAATAATTATGATACCCTTTATGAGAAAAAGGCTACAAGAAATTATTATTATAGAAACGATAAAATAAAACTAAAAATGATAAGGTGTTGATCGGATAAGTTCACCACCGCTGCTTTGGAGGAAGAGAATTTAAAAACTGTCCGGCAATTTTGTAACTTCCGAAGAGCGACGTGAAGATGATTAAACTTGTAAGAAGTTGGTATGTGTGGGCGCTCCTTACAAATTTCATATTAGCTTTGCGTACGGAGGGGAGAGATTGGTATGCTTCACATCATTCAAAGGTGGGCAGACAGGAGTTGGAACTCTTACGGTGTACAAACTTTTAATACTAAATTTAATTCGACTTATTGTAAGCTCATTTTTATTTATTTATTCTAATTCGATGAGTAAATTATAAATTTAATTTATTTTTTAGTTTTATATTTTTAAAATATAATATTTTGTCTTGACTTAAACTACAATCGTTAATTATTCAATTAATTTTTTCTGTCGATCTCTGTATTGTGCATAAGTTGTGATTTAATTCTTAATTTTTCATTTGATCATTTTAAACTCCTATAATTTAGTCATATTGTCTCTATCCCATTTAGGTCATAATTGACATTCAGATTTTCTTAAAAATAAGACCTAAAATTAGTAAATTGGAGTGTTTAGATTCAAATTATTGAATAAATTAACAATTTAATCATATTGTCTCTTGGACTATGATCCAATTACATATTATAAAATTAAAAGGTTTTATACCTTTTTAGGATCGTTAGATGAGGGAAAATGAAAGGCTAAGATTAATAGTAGAAAATGAGAATATATTCACTAAGAAAAAAACAATGAGTTAATCTCAGTTCTTGATTTCCCCTCATCCAACGATCCTAAAAGATGAAAAGTAAAAATTTTATACTATGTCTAAGTGGATCATAACCCTTATCTCTATAACGTACACATATTTTGACATTCAAAATATTGAATAAATTATAACTAAATTCAATATATATTGAAATAATATGAAACATGGAAGTGCTTAAAAGAAATAGGGCAGGTTTTGATTGAGTTGGGACCTATCTAAAAAAAATGTCTTAATCTTGAAAGAAGCTTGTGAAAATTTGTAAGCCGCTCGGGGGTGGGGGAGAGCTGAGTGCAAATGTTGAAGTCCTTGGCACTTGATATATATTTGCAAATCAGATTCTTAAATGAAATTAGATTGTGCCTAATAATTGGGTCATCAGCTTGACATGTGTACACATTTAATTAATCAAAATCAATTAAAAGAAATTACATCAAATCGAAATTTAAATATCGTAGTAAACATCAAATTAAAGTCGCAACTTAAACATAATGACTTGAATAAGAATTTTTTTTACTTGGCTTGATGAGAATAACATCTCCCATGATCATTAAAAGGATAATAAAAAATAATTCCCTAAAGTAAATATATGTGTTTGTGTATATAAAACTATAGGAAAATTAATTAATATAAGATAAAATTATCTGAATAATTGAGATAAAGCATAAAAAAGATAATTTGAAATATTAGATATTAAAATAGATCAAGGGACCTCCAAAGGTGTTTTGTGAAGCCCAAACCAACCAATTGTATGGGCTCTCTTTTAACAATACCTACCATGTGGGCCTTCATGGGAATAAATAACTAATAAAACAAAAGATAAATTGCACATTTAATATCTAAATTATCAGTTTTGGTACGTTTTATACCTAAACTTTTAACTTTTTTAAAAGTATACCTAATGTTTAGTTTTCATTTCATTTTAGTATATTGTTGTTAAAAATTTAACGTTAAATTCTAAACGGGGTAATAAAATAAAACAAAGTTAAAGTTTTTAACGACGGGTATTAAAATGAAACAAAATTTTTCTTTAAGTAT